TCCGCAGCGCCCCCTGTGGCCGCCCCGCGACCCGCGCTGCGGCGCCCCCCGGCGGCAGGGCCCGGGGATGGCGGGACGGGGCGGCAGCGGTGAGACGGGGGGGCCGGAGGGGACCGGGGCCTCAGGGACGGGAGGAAGCGGGGTCCCCTCAGAGCCATCAGGGACCGGGGATCCTCTCAGAGCCATGAGGGAATGGGGTCCCCTTAGATCTGTGAGGGCTTGGGGTCCCCTCAGAGCTGAGAAGGAGTGGGGTCCCCGCTGAGCCGGGAGGGACCGGGGGCCTCTCTGAGGCGGGAGGGATCAGGGACCCGCGGGGCCGGGAGAAACCGGGGTCCCCTCGAGTTGTGAGGGACCAGGGCGGGTCTCAGAGCCAGGAGGGACTGGGGGTCCTCTCTGAGCTGTGAGGGATCGGGGGTCCCCTCAGAGCCATCAGGGACCAGGGTCCCCTCAGAGCCATGAGGTATTGGGGTCCCCTTAGATCTGTGAGGGACTGGGGTCCCCTTAGATACAGGAGGGACCAGGATCCCCTCAGAGCCATGAGGTACCAGGGTCCCCTCAGAGCCATTAGGGACCAATTTTTCCTCAGAGCTACAGGAGCTCAGGATCCCCTCAGAGCCGTGAGGGGTTGGGGTCCCCTCAGACCCAAGAATTCTGAGGGTCCCCTCAGAGCTGTGAGGGCCCAGGGATCTTCTCAGAGCCATGAGGTATTGGGGTCCCCTCAGAAACACGAGGGTCCTCTCAGAGCCGTGAGGGACCCACGTCCCCTCAGAGCTACGGGAGCTCAGAATCCCCTCAGAGCCATGAACCTCGGGGTCCCCTCAGAGCCGGGGTGAGGGACCGGGGATCCCCTCGGAGCTGGGGAGGATCAGGGTCCCCTCGGAGCCGTGCCCCGACCCTCCCGGGACCCCACCGCACCGGGACCGGTTCTCCCTTCCCGCCCAGGGCTGCGAGACACCGGGACCGACGCTTCCCCGTACGCCCCGCCCCGCTCACCGCCGCCGCTCCGGAGCCGCCAAGGGGCGCCCTCACTCCCGCCAGCCACGACGCCCCTCCCCGCCTCCCCCCGGCGCCGGGGGTGATTGACAGCTGTCAGTCACCGAGAAGCGGTTGATTTGAAGGAGTTCCCCCGTTTTTCCGTCACCTGTTCCCCTTTTTTCCCCCCCCCCAATTCCCGGTGGTCACCGGGGAAGGCCCCTCCCGGCCCCTACCCCGGGCGCGGCGCCGCCAGGCCGGCAGGGGGCGCTGTGCGGGGCGGGGTTTGGGGGGGGCGGTACCACGGAGGGGACCGTGGCGGGGACTGTGGCGGGGACCGAGGGGGCGGCCATGGGGGCCGCCATGG